CAGGAAAATATATAAATATATATATGTATATATATAATATATTTACTATATATATCTATATACACATTTATATATACCTATGCAGATTTTGCGTGCTTACCCGGAATGCAGGAATGTCCGTTAAATCACATTCACTAATGTTAAAAAATATTAATACTATGACGATATAAAAACTGCGTGAACACACAAAGCTGGAGTACGGTGTAGTACGCTACGTAGCAAAAAACCAACTAAAACTTTAAGGCGGCGGCGCGGCGGGAAACCAGGAATGCCAACGATTGGAAAATACAGACGGGAATAGGCGCGGAAAGAAAAATAGTAGTAGCGAGAAAGAGAAAAAAAGAAATTAATCTACTAATAATTCGAAGTGGACGCTACCCATTCTTTCCATACGATCGTGACGAATATTCTTGGCCCACGCTTTGCATTCGATGTTAATCAAAACGCCCGGAACCGGCTTTTCGAAATGAACGAACACGAAAGGAGAAAGATAACCCTCTAAGTTGCGGAACGGGAAGTAGTACCTGGGAATGGTACCCTTAGCAGGATAATAAGTCAGTGGCCCGATGTTCTCCTTGTCTGCCGGATTCTGAAAATACAAACGCAAAAGTTAAACCCTTTTCTTCGTTACGTATTGAATAAAAATACAATTATTCGGAATTGCCGTTTTAATAGAGAGGTTGCGGCCGACGTTTTCAACGCGAAAACGTGTACGTCGGACGTTCAGCGCCGCCTTCCTGTAAGCCTAGAAGTTTGACAATGGCGTTTGGAACGTCAGTGGAATCATGCTCGACGTTCCAACGCCATTGTTAAACTTCTAGGCTTACAGGAAGGCGGCGCTGAACGTCCGACGTACACGTTTTCGCGTTGAAAACGTCGGCCGCAACCTCTCTATTAAAACGGCAATTCCGAATAATTGTATTTTTATTCAATACGTAACGAAGAAAAGGGTTTAACTTTTGCGTTTGTATTTTCAGAATCCGGCAGACAAGGAGAACATCGGGCCACTGACTTATTATCCTGCTAAGGGTACCATTCCCAGGTACTACTTCCCGTTCCGCAACTTAGAGGGTTATCTTTCTCCTTTCGTGTTCGTTCATTTCGAAAAGCCGGTTCCGGGCGTTTTGATTAACATCGAATGCAAAGCGTGGGCCAAGAATATTCGTCACGATCGTATGGAAAGAATGGGTAGCGTCCACTTCGAATTATTAGTAGATTAATTTCTTTTTTTCTCTTTCTCGCTACTACTATTTTTCTTTCCGCGCCTATTCCCGTCTGTATTTTCCAATCGTTGGCATTCCTGGTTTCCCGCCGCGCCGCCGCCTTAAAGTTTTAGTTGGTTTTTTGCTACGTAGCGTACTACACCGTACTCCAGCTTTGTGTGTTCACGCAGTTTTTATATCGTCATAGTATTAATATTTTTTAACATTAGTGAATGTGATTTAACGGACATTCCTGCATTCCGGGTAAGCACGCAAAATCTGCATAGGTATATATAAATGTGTATATAGATATATATAGTAAATATATTATATATATACATATATATATTTATATATTTTCCTGCCACGAAGTTCGACGAGAAACGATCTGTCTCGTAAGGTTAGCAGCATTCATTCCAGTTTTTTTTTTTTTTAAATTAGAAAAATCGAATTATTTCTCGCTATTTAGGGAGGAAGATTTTTAATCGAGCGGGGCAGATTTGTTTCGACTGGAACTATCATCCCGGCGAGACGAAAATAGTAAACATACACGTACGGGACGTGCGGTATATATACGTATACGCGTACGCCCAATACATCACATTACAAAGGCGTTCGATTTATTCCCACTAGAAGCAGAAACAGTCGAAATCTCGTGTACCGAAGACCGACGTCGCCGGCTTTTTCCACCCTCCCGAAAGGTGCGTCCACATTGGGGAATACGTGGGTGGGCGGCGGTACGAAGGGGGTTCGAGACCCAGGTAACGACATCTACGCTAGATATTTTCCGCCCAATGGGTTAGACGGGAAAGCCAGACCAGCGTAACGCGCGGAAGGAGCGTGTTCTTGGGGTGCGAAAGAAAACGTCAAGGAGGGAATCGGGCGTCCGGCGGCGGAAGTGGTCGATACACGACGCGTTAAAAAAAAAACAGTAGATTTAAACCAAAGGAAAACAAGTTAGAAAGCATTTAAATGCCAAAATAATTAGCACCCGTCGGCACGCGGCCGAGCGGTGGGCTCGGTCCGCCCGCACTCCCCTTAAAGTAATTTAACGTTGGGTTTAAATTATTTTACGGCATTCCGTACCAATATTATATATTATATTTTTCTTTATTTTTCGGAAGAATATTTTTTTTTAATTATAATAATAATAATAATAATCGGACGGTATTTTTAGTTGTGTCTGTGGGCGGGGACCTTTCTCGCCCTTTCTGTCGGTCTGTAAATTTGTTTAAACTGTATTTTTTTACTTCGATTTATGATTTTTTGTCGGGTCGCCGTCTGCGAAATCCCGACGGTCGGTCGGTCGGCCGGCCGCGCCCTCCGCTGGTAATCTAAAAAAGCGGCCCCCCTCCACCCGGGAAATAAAAATTTGCGCGCGCCCGTAGACGCGGCGGGCTTTACTTAAGCGGGCCGCCGCCCGCGCCGTCGGGATTTCGTCGAGTCGAATTATTATTGGTTGTTTCGTCGGTGTTATTTTGTAATCGGTGCACGCGACGGTCAATAAAGAAAGATGCAGATTTTCAAAATCACCGTTTCGTCTTTCCTTCTGTTTCCTATCGTCCCGTCACTTCCGGTTGACGCTTACGCGGCGCGGAACTTACTCTCGGGATTTTCTCCAATTGTACAGTACAGTACTTTCCCTGTTATACGTAACGGGGAAAGTACGGCCATCTGTCAAATGTTGCCGGGAAAGTTAAGCAACTCGTAGGATTTTTATTTGTAACGAACGACGGATTTTAACGCAATGGAAAATATTCGTGTTTCCGCGCCCGCCAGGCGCATCTACTTCCCTCTTTACGGTAATTTCTTGCTACGCCCGATCCGCGGGAACTTCAAAACACCGAATCGAGTTTCCGGCCGTAAATGTAGGCGACGAACTGATTTATCCAAAATTTAAGACGTCGTCCGCGATACCGGCGACGGAGACGTTAATTAATACACCTTTGGCACTTTAACGTTAAACTGGTGGCAGAGCGCGACCGTCCTTAATTAACAGAGTCTATTCGGTTATTTTTTATCGGGTACCGCGGAGCGGGACCAGGCGATTGTCGTTGGCGGGTAGACGACAATAGAAAGCGGAACAGTGACGGTGTAATAAAACATACGCGGGATTAAAATGTTTACCGTTACAAAATTTCGAAAAGTTTAGTACAGTATAACTACACTGATACGAAGTACAGTACTGTAGTGGTAATATTAGTATAATAGAGATGATGATGAAAAGTAAAAACGTGTACCGGTACTTATTGAATAAAGAAGTATCATCGAAGAGAACGACTACGTAACCGTCGCAGTACGCGGTGGTAACGGAGTACAGGTGTCTGAGTTACGGGTGGGATATGGAGGAAACGGTTGTAGGTTGCAATTCGCGCCAGGTTATTGTATTTCTTCTCCGTGTTCCGTTCCGGAATAAGTGGTAACGTCGTTAATAAGACGGCCACGGTCACGTGGGAAATTGGTGTTTCTCCGCAGAGAAAAGACGGCGCCGCCGTTAACTTTCTCAGTGCCGTTATTATAATTTCCTTTATTAGAGCTTATCTATTAGCCGTTTCCCGGCACCCGTAACGTTCGATTCCATTCCGCCGAGTTTAAGTGACGCAGACCTGGCGTTACGCGGGAAGATTTAAAGATCGAACGACTTTAGTCGTCGTCCCGACGAATTGGTAATTAACATCGGGTGGCGACAAAAAAAAAGAGCAAAAGTACCGTCCGGGTTGGGTATTTCGGTCCTATCCTTCGTAGGTTACGGTGCGAAAGATAAGGCTCCGGCAGGCTTTTCGCGTCACGTAATATAACTATTTGAACCCGGTTAATGGACAGATGGGTCATTTTAGGCCCGGAGAGATCTCGGCTCCGCTTTCGTCCGACTTCCGGTAGTCTCCCATCGGAACGTTTTCGATTTTCGGGAACGACCCTAGAGTAGGCGCCCGCCCCGGATTTTTCCGTATTTCCGGCCAATGGAGCGGAAGAATTTGAAATACTTCGAACGGGGAATTTTTTACCCGTAAAACGAAATTTCGGCACCGGAGGAGGAGGAGGTGCGACGTACGGCCCGGTGGCTCCGCCCGACCGTTGCCAAACAATAAAGGAAACGTAACGTCGGGCCGGAAACGACGCCGGATCCGTTCGCCGAATTTCCAGGTATTCCGGAGGGCGGAAATCCCCTTCGAATTTCCGGCTTGCGGTTCTCGCCTTCTCCCACTTCGTTCCGGCCTCCGATCCAGGTAAGACCGATTTTATTTGGGGGGTGGCGCCGGGCCTAATTACGGCTACGTAACCGGAACCGGATTCCGCGCCGGGGGATATTCGGTACTCTATGACCGGAGTGTGATAGTGGGGGAAGATCCCGTGGCAACTTCTGTCCGAAAAGTTTTTGATCCTGCCCGGGCAGCTTTACGTAAAATCGGACCGAAGTACAGGAATGCGCGTGCGGGTGGGTGGGCTAATCGTTACCGGGAGTGAGTGTGTGTTTATATAAAGTTACGTAAGGTAAAGCGATCTCTGCCTTACTTTTCTTAGAGAATAAACGTTGACGGCACCACGTTCGTAACTCGATAACGGAAACTAAGGTATATCGTCACCACCGGGAATTATTTGAATCCGACGTTGGGCTAAAATGTCAATTTGAAAGTGTACCACTCGTTTCGAATTAAGAAATTGTAGAAATAATGTGCACTTACCGAATGCGTCACGCATTCCAAATGTCGGACGGAATACGTTATTTAAACCCGATATCGGTCGTATTTACCACCGACCGATTTAAAAATTTCCTAACTCGCCGATCATCACCGTTCGACGAGTGTTAATCTCGTCGGCAATAACATTTCTAATATCTTACCGGGCGTAACCCACGGTAACGGTGCCGTTCCCTGGCCTCCGAACCAGTGACGTGTGACCATCGACCGTTACCGAACCTAATGGTGCGTTACTCGATTCGGCCGACGTAAAAGTAATTTATTTGCACGATTATGTAACGAGAAAGGCAAAATATTTTTCGATACTTTCTTTAAAACGTCCCGGACGGACGCTTGTTATCGGCCGATACGCGAGTACTACGTAATTTAATTAAAGCGATAGACCGGTCCACCATCCCGGGAACACCATCGAATCCGGATAGACCATTGCTAGAATTTTTCGTGGGTGCAGCCGAAAAAAATATTCTTTTAGTGCCGACGGTTTGATGGAGTCTAAAAGAAATAGTATTGGTAATAGTAAGGTATGTAGTCCTCTGGAAATCGAGTTTTTTTTTAACTCCATCTCGAGGGTATAAGAGTACCTCTTTTAGCTAGCCTATTATGGTTTCGGCCGGGCCCACCGTGGAGCGGTCGGGTGGCCAGGGACGAGGCTCGATGTACGCGGACTGATCACCACCCGAAAAATTCCCGGGGTTATTTCCACCCGTCGGGATTCGTCGCACCCAGGGTCCCCAGAGCGGTAGGCTGCCACCTTTGGCCCCTCGGCCGTCCGGCCGTCTGAAATCGAAGTCTATAGAGAGGTTGCCGCCGACGTTTTCAACGCGAAAACGTGAGCGGACGTTCGGCGCCGCCTTCCTGTAAGCCTAGACGTTTAACAATGGCGTTTGGAACGTCGAGCATGATTCCACTGACGTTCCAAACGCCATTGTTAAACTTCTAGGCTTACAGGAAGGCGGCGCTGAACGTCCGAGGTACACGTTTTCGCGTTGAAAACGTTGGCCTAACCTCTCTTATAAACTCCGGGCCTGGTCGGGAAACGATTCCGTTGTGTATTGCGACGGTCGCCTTATTGGTTCCTGTTTGGTAGTGTATACGGCTAGCGCAGTGCTATTCAATCTATGGATCGCACTGCTAAAATGTTTGAATACCATTGGGCTAGCGTGTTTTAGCTGTGATCTTAGGTACGGCACCCTCGGTGACAACGACGGATACTGTCCACTTCCTTTTTAAGTCAAAAGTTCGAAGTCTTTATCATGTAGTGCTCACCAGTGGCCAAGCGGTCTTCGTACCCTGAACACTGGGAGTTTGGTCGTGGTTTCGCGCCTCGCTCAAACGGGCTGGCCAAGTGGAGTTTTTTGGGTTTTCTCCACGTCTGTAACGCCTAAATAGGAACAAGTTTCCCTTAAAAGACCTCCCGGAAGGCAACTTTCCTAGGCAGATCGCCCAAGTACCATAACTCAAACAAACCAAACCTCTACCAGGTGTTACACGAGATTGTCACTTTAGAATCTATTCTTTATACAAATATCTAGAACTAATTTCATTAAATTTCTTAAAAATTGTTAACATAATGGTTTAATTTTCTGTTTTAAGAAAATATATTTATAAACCTACCAGCTTGTGAAAAAATTAAGACTGTTTAAAGATGCATATTTAACTTATTGCAACAGAACATTTTTATGTCGTTTAGAAACGTTTAAATGAAAGGTTAAAGAAATAAGTGTCTTGTTAGTTTATTCCTAGTTTTGGAATTAAATAACGGGTCATTTTGACCCGCACCACATCAGTTAAGGTTTCAAACACAACGAGTTAAAATATTTTAGCTTGTTGCTTTTACACAACACACACGTGGCACGTCACTTGACTAAAAAGAAAATGGCGGACGTGTATTCAATTTTCTTTAAACATGGCGTCGCTACGACCACTCTATTTACAGTAATATAATATTTAATATCTGTTTTTCCGATCTCGGTTAGCTGGATTGTCATTTATTTTTGTTTTAAACGGTTTGATGTTCGGCGAATTTAATTAAATTCTCACCTTATGTCACCGCTAATTCATAGTAGTATAGAAATAGAAAACGTCATAGAATATAAATAAAAAATGAATTTTAATTAGGAAAATTTTCTACCGTTTGTTTTCCTTTATCTTTGGAGGGTGTCAGGCCCCTTAACCCCTCTCGGGGTGCGCGAATGAGTGGAAACCACAGAATTCCAGGCCGTGTGGGGTTAAATTACACTTTTAGTTATTATATTTGGTAAATTTTAAATCTGTGGGTAAAACTTTTTCATAAGCGGTAATGTTTATCTTAAACTGAACACTAAAACACAGATTATGTATTTGCTTTACAGTCTGTAAGTAAAATACGGCCATGGACAGTATAGTATCGGATGGACGACAGTGGTAATTTATAGGTCTACAATTTTTTAAAAATTGCAATCCAATAAACAACACAATAAATAGACCTTCCCCTTCAACCGATCGCTCCAGTCGTAGATTTGATGCTCGATGATCGTCGATTAATAATTACAGACATTGCTTGATACTGGAACGTGTTCAATAATGTTAAAAGATCATTTGGAGTGGCGGCGCGTGCTTCTCCAGTCTTCTCGAAAACGTTGAATTTTTTCAAAAACAACGTGTTCCAGTGTCCGAGAGAAGGCTCTCTCTGGGCCAATCGTTCTTAAAATGCATCATTACGGATGACGAAACGTAAGTCTATGCTTTTGACACGAAAAAGGTTCGAGAATCCAGTGAATAGAGCTCGAAAGGTGAAGCGAACCAAAAAGACCACATAGAGATGAATAAAAATTCAGGTAGTGTTAGCTATTTTCTTCGATTGTTCCGACGTTACCCGATACCTTTTGATCACAAGGACACGAACACTGCAATAAAAGTTTTATTTTGTTTTGATCTAATTTCACTTTATAAAAATGTTTACTCAATGCTCCCGTTTTCAGCTTGTGTAATCAAAAATGTGTGCGAATATACAAAAGTAAACATATTCTTGTTTTAAGAAACATCTCCGGATTTCTTCTCTAAGAACCATGGACAGTTTTTTTATTTTGAAATCTATTTAGTTAAAGCCTGAAAGTAAATGCCAGAACGGCCTCCGAATGAAAAGATACTTTATCTGGAATTATATAAAGAATTTCGTAGCTCGAACTCGAAGGAACAATTGCACGAAATCTATACTTGGGCACGGTACGAAGGAACCAAAATGGCGACTCCGTGAGGAACATTGGTTCCGGACATTGCGTTTACAGTCCGTGGTGGAGATCGTTGTTTTTAATCGTCGACCATCCACGATTCTATCCGATGTCACCGAGCGTTTTTGCAGTGGTACAGTAGACCCCTCTATAACGCGTAGATACGTTCCTCGTTATACGAATTTCGCGTTCTAGGAATCCTTAAATACGTGAGCCAATCACAGCCCGTCACGTGTGAAGTTTACGGACTACGGCTGTTTGAAAGGTTTTCTTCCATAAAATTAATCGATTCTAAACTAATTCGACTTAACATTTCCAAAACACGTATAATTTTTTGGGAATAATCCGTATAAACTATGCTATAAAGAAAAAAATTGCAGGATTACTTACCGAGTGTGCACCGTTCGACGTCGCCATTGCTTAAGCTTGTTTTCGTCGCGGAGCAGCGCACCAAACGGCGGCCGCGATTTCTGATGTTATTTTTCTGCGAAAAACTCGTTGAACTTTGGAGACATCATTAATTAATAGAAATAATTTTTATGGCCGTTGAATAAGAAATGTTTCTTTCACAAGAAATGTATAAAATTACAGTGCTGTATTAGACTTACGGTACATAATTTACATACTGTACAGACGATAGTAAACTTAACTTACTCGCCTAAACTCTCCGTAGCGTGGCGCTGGAGGCGAAAGTAGTTCGGCTGCTCGTCCGCGATGACGAGTTGGCGATGACGTTTTACGCGTCCCTTTTAGCATCTTTATACGAATATTGTCGCAATTTTTTCGCCGCGTTATAGGACTCTCCGTTATAGGAACCTGCGTTATAGGGAGGTCTACTGTATTTGTTACGTATTTATGTAGGCAATTCGTATTACACATACTTTCCTACTCGGGGTGGTACTATAAATTTATGTAAAATTCAAATCGAATAATTTTAGGCCTACTCTGCCTTGGCTATCAGACAATTTGAATCCGAAGATCCAGGTATTCATTCGCGTCTTTTTTTTTGTGTTTTGTATACATACGTATTTTTTTATTTGAGTTATTTTTTACGTAATTTATAGGTGCTAGTGAACAATTAAATTATTATCATACTTGCTTTTGATTTCCGTACGAAGCATTTATACTTTGGTTGCAGCGAACGTACTGCCGTATTACAATATAATGATCTTTTTTATATATCTGAGGAAATGGTTAAGATTATTGAAAGAAAAGGCTTTTACGTATATTAAGACACCTTCCGTAAGTATAATCGATACTTTTTTAATGGGAAAATACGTACACGTTTACTGGCACGGCATTCGTTACCGGGATTTTTCAACCCATTCACTACAGGGATATTAGTGTTTGTCTCCGTCTTCTTAGTCTGTTCGATCCGCTCCAAATTACTCTACATGGTATGTACTAATTAATTATCTGGGAAGCTGCGGCCGTCCACTGTCCGGTATTTGTTTTACAATCTTGGAAATACTTATGTTCCGTTTTGTTGTCACCTCAGTCCATTTGTATCTTAACCCCGGGAAGGGAAGTAATATAGGGGTGCCCATCGGTCGAAGGATTTACAGGCGTTTAAAGGATGGACGGACGCCGTTTTATTTTATGTTTATATATATATGATAAGTTTGAAATATCAGAATTGACCTTAACTATGTAAGTCGTAACCGAATTTACAGGTAGTCTACTCATTACTCTAACCACCACCCGGCACGGAAAAGTCACCAACAACGCGGCATCCGCTACCGGTCCGTTACTTTTGACAATAATAAAAGCAGTTAAATGCCTCGGGATCCTCCAATTAAAATTACGCTATTTAAAAGCCACTCAAATAGGGAGCGATGTAACGGTAGGAACGATCCGGTGGGCCGCGGGGCCACCGGATCGTTCCCGTTTGGCAGCGATAAACACCAATAAATACCGTTCTTATTACCGGGGAAGGCGGCCGCCCGCGTCCCCGGTAATAAGAACAAACAGAAGCGAACAAAACCGGTAGGCGGAGCGACAAACGGCCGAATCTACGAAGCGGAATACGAAGCTCGCGGCGGGCGCGAGATATTTCTTGTCCGACCCTCTCCTTCCTTCCTAAATACTTCTCATTCACTTTTTAAACGGGTGTTTTCTATTATCCGGCCCCTTCCCCACTCGCCCGTCTCCTTTCACTTTGAGCTAACCTTTTCCCTTCTTCTACGTTATTATAAAAACGCGTAAATCGCCGCAACTCGCTTCCCGCCGCCTCCTCGCGCCGCTTCGTTCCGTTTTTCTTTTCCATTTTCATCCGCCTCCCTTACCTTTTCCCGAGGAATGATACTCGTCCGCCGGGTGGAAAACGGTGAGCTTAGCGCTTCCAATTTCCTCTCCTTTACTCGCCCATTCCCGGCGAAAGACGCGCCGACTGTCGCTAACTTCTTACCGCGCCGCCGGCGGCGAGTTTAATATTTTTTCCTCGTGTTCTTACGTAATTATCTAAAAAAAACGTCATTTCCGTCCGGCACCGCCGCCTGCCGGCCGCTTTTCCCTCATTCCTCCGGTGGAATTCCGGCGCTTCGGCCTCCCCTTCTTCCTTTACCCTGGGAACACCGTATTCGTCTGTTTTCCCCTCAACCTTCGGGCCCGGACCGGAAATTCTCTAGAGAGCGGGAACGAGGCTAAGACGGGTAGAAGAAGCGCGGGATTAGCCGACGAGTTTTTCCGCCAGACGACGCCGGAGCCGGCGGAAGTCGTACCCCTCGTCGGAGGCATTAGCGGTTCGGACACCCGACGGGTAAGTCGCTTCGGCCCGCGCGCGCTTCTCTCATTCCCCTTCCGTTTTCGGAGTCGTGCCCTCCGGAAACCAGGCGTCGGCCGCCCCCGATGCCACAAAAACTTCGTTTTACTGGCAGAAAACGGGAAGAAACCTCTTTCCTTTCTTCTCCGGAAATTCTCTCATTTTCCTCCGGGAAGAAGATCGGGCGCGGGACGCGTGGAACGACGCGGAAGGAGCCGATTTCAGGCGGACGGATGCGCGCGTCGGCCACCCGCCGCCCGACGGAGGAGAGAAGAAGGGGAATCTTTCCGTCTTCCGCCGGGAGGACGGAAAAATCCCGCCGGACTCCGACGGGGTACGGAGGAAAAGTCGGAGGGGAAAACGGCGGATGAGGGGGGAAAGGAGATAGGTGAAAAAGACTGAGGAATTCGGCCGTCGGAGGACGACGCAACCGCCGATTTTCGGGACACGCTCCGTCGATCTTCGTGACGTCGAGCACCTGCCGACTCTAATCGAATTCCTCCCCCCTGTACGCCGAGCGCTTCTCGCGTCCCGGGAAGGAGAAACATCGTCGGAAGAAGTCCTTTCGACTTCGTCCGGAAACAGAAATTAATTCGAACCTCTCTTCTTTCCGTGATTTTTTTCGTCTTCCTTCTCTTCCTTTTCACTCCTTCGGACTGAAGGACTCTTCTCTCTTCGGCAGGAAAAAGGTGAGAGAGGGAGAACGGTGGTCGGCGCGCGGAAAGGCGTCGGCGTCGGCGGAGCGACAATCGTCTCGAATGGTCGATCGCGACCTTATTCCCATTTTAATTCGTCATTAAATGTTTTCGTAACGCGGGGGAATTTCCATCGGCGCCGTTAACCGCATCGAAAGTTTTCGCTCCTTTCGGAACCATCGGTCGACATCCGAGCACGCTCAGACTCCTTCTCCCCTAGGTGTTTCCCGCCGGGCGGCGGTATCGGCGCGGAGACGGAGAGGGGAGCGAAGGAGCGGATAACGGAGAAGGTGTGTTTGTATTTGTGTTTGGCAGGCGCCGAAATGCCCCGGACGCAGAAGTACGCGGTGACCGAGTCTCTGGTGTCTCTGGCCCTTTCGCAGCAGACCACGGCCTCTCGACCGGACGTCGACGGAACGGGAGTCGACAGTCTCCTAGAAGACCACCGCAGGATTCCTCGCGGCGGGAGAGGGATTCCCTTCGGATGTAAGTAAACTTTTTTGAAATTTCTCCGGAAATGGCCGTTTCGCCCTTTCGTCGTCTTTCCGTTTCCGGCCGCCCGGGTTTTCCGCCGTTCCCGACAAACGAACCGAAGTAAACCTCCGGGTGGCGGCGCTCAAATTCGGCGTTGAAACGACGGCGGAAGAAACCGCGCGGATCATAGAGCAATTACGCGGACAAAGGAAAAAAAAAAACAACTGAAAGCCCGCAGACGGGGCAAGTGGAGCGGGAAATGGCGTTTGTACTCCTCGGGAAAATGGTAAACGGAAATAAAAAGAAAGAACGAAAGCGGGTGAGAGGAAAGGTGGAAGAAGTCGGACGATTCCGGAAAGCGAAATTTTAAGGTAATGGGAGGAAGGAGGCTGGCGGTTCTTCTTTCCATTTCTTTCAAAAGAGATGGGAGGAAGCGAAATCCGGGGAAATGGAGAGAGAGTTGGGGAGGTGGGACGAGGGAAGGAGGGTCGAAACGGTAAAGCGCCGTTCGGAAGGCGGCGGAGGAAAACGAAGGTTTAGTCCTGTGGACCGAACGGTCAGGCCTCTTTTGGTAATTTTACGCCCGTTGAGATTTGTTTCGGGCCGGGTGTCCGGCTACGGCGGCCGATTATAATCGAGCGCCGGTGTAAGTTGCGGACGAGAATTACTCCGTTTCCAGTTATTAAAAATAGGTCGAGACGAGACCCAGCACGCATTTTCCCTTGGACCGATAGTCTTTCCGGGGCGAGTCGGGAGGAAAGACCGGAAGTGGAAAGATCTTCCGCTACCCCGGGAATTCGCCACTTTTCTAAATATTTCTTCGGGTTTCGCTTCCGCGCCTTTTACCTTTTCCGCAACGATCTTACGCTTAAAGGAAGGGCGTGGATCCGGCCACCGGCACCCGCCTCGGCCGCCCGGCCATCCGATTTTTTACGGAGAAGTTTGGTATTATTTTCGTCAATTTTTTATAGTAAATTATGTGACGGTGGTTTGGCCCGGTGTCTACTTTTCTCCGCTTGGGCGGGGTATTTTTCGCCCGGCTGGGACGGTGGGTGGCGGGCGTTGGCCGGTAACGCTAGAACGGAGACGGAATTCCCGGTTATCCCTTTTGGCTCTTGGACGGAAGAAAGCGTAAATCGGACCTTCGACCCTTTTCCCCCATCTCGTGCCCGAAAACCAAAACCCAAGTTTGAGGTCGGTATATTTAAATGCCGTAAATCGAGCCGGTCGTCAATTCGAAGTACTGTACTGTACGGGTGGCGGGTGGAGACAAAAACGCTCCCGCGGGTATCTTTCGAGTCGTCTTTCCCTCCGTAACGCCTAAATAGGGGCCGCTTTCCTGCCGAAAGTTCACCCGAAAGACTACCCCTGTAGTTAGGCTAAATTATCCTTCCTTTAATTATTCTCCGTCAGGTGTGAATTTAATGGAATTTGCTGTATCACCGTTAATTCTATTGTTTTTTTCGTTGTACGAATTACAAATTCGATTTGAAGTCGTAAAGGCGCAGAGAATATTTCGGAACCGCCGACTTAAGCGTGATTTTCGCCGGATGCCAAGGGTGCAAAACGTAACGAAGCCATGCCGGTTAGACATTTTCGTGCGTACGCCAAAGCTGGGGCGTTGAACACCGCTTGTTGGTCGTCAGTTCGCGCCTGGACACGTGCAGTTTTCCGTTAGAAACACCTAAATAAGGACCAGAACGTGTAATTACTCCACGAATAATCGAGTCGATATTTAGAGAAATCCCCACTTAGTGGCCGGTATGGGTAAATTCCCATAAATTATTTCGGGGTGGGCAGAAAGCGGGCGAAGAGATTTTAAAGTGGGATCGTACCCACTTCGCTCCACCCTAACACTGTCTGTACTCCGAAGGTACTACTAATAAATGTCAACATAACTAAGTTGTAAACGTAATAGGGGATAAGTTTGCCAACAAACTATTACGCACCCAGAAAGCGCGCTACAAATATAGTACACACACGAAACATCCTACGATGGCCGTAATCACTCACGAAACAATCCATCAGAATAGACCAGACGTCACATTCGTCGACATACAAAAAAAAAATCACATACCGAAATCAGCTGTAGCCATTGCGCGGTTTTTCTTCCTTCTGAAAGTACTGTACACAGTCACAGTCAAAGTATTTAGCGTGGTGCTAGGAAAAATCCTTGGCTAATTATAATAGATAAATCTTCAAGTTGTTTTTTATGATATTATTTTAACGTCGGGGTCGGTAAAACTAAAATTTCCACCAATTGCGGTCATGGTTGTGTTATTGACGTGGATTTAGGTGTTTCGGCCATCGATAAGCGACTTCTACGGTCATTTTACATTACCTATTTTTACTTAATTGTTTAAAACCCAACGGAAGTATATTTATCAATGTCGAAACCAAGGTCTGCACTCGATACTGCGATGCATGGCGGCATTCGCCATACTGGTTCCTTTCAGGTCGTGTGTACAGTGTTTCTACAACGAATTTGGTCGTCAGGAGAGTGATAATTTAAGTGTTAAATTAGTATTTCATAATAATTGAGATTAATGTAATGCAGTACAAATTGTATATTCTAATGAATAATTGTTGCTTAATAATCATTTATAATAATTTTATTAATATTATATAATAAATGACGTTGATATTTCTATTTGTTGGTATGTTTTTTAACTCTTTTAGCCCTGTGGGCACTAAGAGGCCTCTTAAGGCAGGCCCATTACGGGTTGGGCCAGGCCCACAGGGGGCGGCCGGGTGGTGAGGGACGGAGCCCGACATTTCCGAACGGACCATCCCCCTCCCCGAAAAATTCCTGGGGATTTCTTTGACCCGTCTGGATTCGATCCCGGGTCTCCCAGAGCGGTAGGCTGCCACCTTGACCGCTCGGCCATCCGGCCGCATATTTAGGATTTAATTATTTCAGTCGAAGCGGTAGGCTGCCACCTTGACCGCTCGGCCATCCGGCCGTCTATTTATTGGTATTGTCTACTGTTTAGTAAAGTTTTATAAATATACTTATTTAATTCTCTATAAAAATAATTAAATTTAGTTTATTACTTCCTTCATTTATGAATTTTCTTATCTCTTGCATACATTTTTGAAGTTTTACTTAACATAAGGACTCAATATGGCGGCTCCATAGAGAGCATTGGTGTCCCGTCCTCGGGCTTATAGACCTTGGTCGAAACAGGCAGGGCCGGTTGCTCCCTTACCACCAAGCTGAGCATTTTCCCAGGGCGGCAGATTATATACAGAATTTTCAGAATTTTATACAGAATTTTATATTATTTTTTTAATGATTTTTTACACGGTGCGAATTGAATATTGATTGACGGAGCAAGGTTCTAATTGGTATGGCATTTCAAAACAAATTTCTCTTTCATTTTATGTAGGGAGATAAGGGACGTCAATCGTGTGTCTTGCTCCGGGAGACATAAACTCTAGCACCTGCTCTAGAAACAGGTTCTAACAAAATTATTCTTCATTACTTTATATTCTACAGAATACGTAATTACGGTTGTTTCTCCGTATAATTACCGTATTTTACGGCATTTAAAACAGACAAAGTTCAAAAATCTTTCGCTTTTCGTAAGTGAAGTTGCCACCGTGGTTAAGACCGTCCATCAGATACGAAACAAAGAGGTGCAGCGCAGCTCTTTGTTTCGTATCTGATGGCAAATTGCGCCGCATCGTGCAACTTCGAGCCAAGACGAACACGACCCGGCAAGTGTCGGTATATCAAAGAAAGGGGTACGTTCGTGCGCGTTCTATTTGCACGGTGTTTTTTTTTTTTTTTGGATTTTACCGCATGTCGGCGGAATTTGTGCCTTACCGATCGAGTTAATTAACGCACGACGAAAGTCTTGCGTTAGTTTTCGATGGTAAAATGCAATTAACTTAAAAGATTATTTCCGCCATATAATTGCCTATATTTTGGCATCGGTGTAACTCAACCGCGACATTTTCTAGGAATTTTTCTTTTCCTTCGAGTGATAATAAACTATTACGAAAGCACTCTTGCAATTCTCGCTGTTTTATATTCGATCGTGCGCGCGCTCACACCGGAACATCACTTATTCATAAAATACCCCTATGTGGGCTCTGCGCATTTCAGCTCTGTTTTTCCGTGCGGTTGGTCTAAACGCTGCTTTGGGCTTCTGCGTGTAACCCCTCTTCTTAGCCCGATTTTGGGGGGAAAATATTATTGTTTAATTAAGCGTATAATTATTACTTGGTATAGTTGAACAGTTTTTTAGCGTATTCGCGTAAATATTTTAAGAATAAATATTTTAAATACATTTTGGTATCGTAAATGCAATATGGGGATTTAAACGCGAGGTGGTTAGAGAAACGTCAGCAGAAATTGTTTCACCCGAGCGTCGAAACTTTCAAAAGGCGTCACTCCTTTGTCGTTCCTTTGAAACCATCGCCGTCCATTTTGGTACACTGTCTGCGAAGGTGAGAACGTAGTCCGCGTAAACGGCGCGAGTATCTAAATTCCGTTTGTATCCGCAGGGTTGATCGCGGCCGTCTTTGGCGCCATTTCCTTGACTTTTATTCTCTGCGTCCAATTCGTGCGTTTACCCGGAATTCCGGAAAGCAGGCCCTTCGCTTCGGAAAAACTGATGCAGAAAAAAGGTAAGAACGTCTCTTTCCAACCGAAGACTCCAAAGACGAGAGGGTAACGTTTTAACCCGCTTTGTCCACAGGTTTTCTCAAAGTGTATCCTTTTATGCCGGACAATGGAACGGCGGTGCCCGGAATCTATTCTCTCCCCCTTCCTCTGGACGCCTCTCTTCTGGTCTCCCTGGAAGACGTCTTGAACGGTAAGTGTAGTCGTTTCCTAACCAACGGGACCCTTTCGAAGGACTAAATAATGTATTTGGTCAGGTTATCCGCAACATCCCGGCCATCGCGTCAGTTGTTACGTCTCTTCGCCGTCTTATAGTCGACCCTGCCACTTCGACAGAGAATGGTTGGGAGAAGAGTGCCGCGCCGAAGATCACTTCGGTTACCGGGAAAATAACGGAACCTTTAATCCCTGCGTTCTGGTTCGGATCGAGGAGGTAAATAGCTGCCATCTCACCCCGGTGTCTACCTCCGTCTCTCTTTAATCTTTCTGGTGTTTTCAGTCGGAAGACTGGAAGCCGGTGGTCTACAGAAAAGAAGACGTCGATGACTCCTGGAGAAACGTGTACGATCCGACCTTCGTCAGCATGAGTTGTGCTCTAAAAGTAAGTTACTTTTCGATCCTTAGCGTCGGATTAGTGAAAACCAAAATAAAACATACTCTCTCGTATTCATTGTGATTCATATATTAACATTCTTCTAATGTACGTGAAGTTATTTATTTATTTTGTGAACTTGTACCAGGCAGTCACACATTTTGTGGATCCCGTTGTTCTTGATGTAAAAGGAGTTTCCTGATCTTTTTGAAGGTGAGGCGTTCGTCAAACTTTTGGAGAGTATTGTCAGTTTTAGTAGGGCATTATTTACATTTATCGTGACTCGCTAGATTCCCATTATACAGGAAGTGATTGGTAAGAAGGGAGGTGGAACGTGTTCTGTTGATAAGTATTGCGATGTGTCTGTCTAGATTTTTATAATTGGGGTCACTGCTGTTTTGTAGCTATGGATAGGCTTCTCTTTTACTTTTCCGGCTGTTCTCTGTACGTAACAAGACAGCCGGAATAGAATCGTGTCAAAGTTGACCCTTCCAGTTTTTTTGCAAATCTCCACATTTTGAGACCTCCCGAATCCAAAACACTCAAAATAACGACATATGTCTATTTAGTTTAATGTCTCAGAATGGGGTCAAAATTAAGAAACGAAATTTGGCATGGTGTCTTGCATATGAAAAGCATTGATGCTATTACATTTTGTTGGTAAGAGGTCTAGAAGTTGGAGAGGTAGAGGGGTCATATATCTGGAGAGGTGTAGGACTTGATGATTTTATTCGTTATTAATGTTTATTACGTAAAACTCATCCGTGCTTTCAAAATTAAGCTTTTTGCCATTTTATAGTAATACAAAATATTTTCGTAAGAAAATCTGATGACAGATGGCGCCACACACAATTTTATTTTTTTTTTTTTGCTTAATAATAAAATTTTTTCAAAAATAAAGACTTATAACAGCCGAAAATGTTACGCAACTTTCGTTTTTTTTCGGTAGAAGTTCCATATTTGTTTCATTTTTTCTTTCATGTCGTTTTTGCCGAAAGTGAGAAAATCTGGTGAGATATTTGTTTGATTGGTGGTACTTGCGTTGCTCTTAGCTATTGCACTTGAGCGATTGAAATAATAGCGGTTTTCACGCGTACTGTACATTTTTAAATGCCTAACTCAGCATTCCTGCGCGCGCCTGAGGACTGGAGTTGGATAGTGACGCGCAAGAAGGTTCAATAGAAAAATACAATGCATTCTTCTCACTTTCCCGCGTTTAGAACGGCAACACGCGGTGAGACGCGTAAATGCCAGACAGAGCGCATTCTAGCCCCACTGCTAGGCGCACGGAGCGTCGAACATTAGTAAAATCGTCATTAAATCCGACCTTACTCGAGATACGACACAAACCCCTTTATCTACTCTTTAATCACCAAAATTTAATACTAGTATCGATCCCCCTGTCCCGCAAAAGTACGGGATTTTTTAAGCTTCAAAGAAGATGAACGAAATCGCAACCCCCTACAAACTAATCGTATTTGAGAGATTTAGTTGCAATACCCCTAAATCCAACATTAAATTATTATTGTATTTTAAATGTAATTTTGATCCGATTTGCGTGGCATCTGTCCACGTTGTAATCCTATGTTCCGGGGAAGGTAATATACGTAGGAAAGTTATTTAAAATCTTTTTAAAACGATATTACGCATTTACACCTTTGTCTTAAACTTTTAAAAAGTCGAAATCTTAGGAAATAATAGCGAATTTGCGGCCGAAGTTTTCATCTGTAAAACGTGAACGTCGAACGTCGAGCGCTGCTTATTTGTAAGCGGCGCTCGACGTTCGACGTTCACGTTTTACAGATAAAAACTTCGGCCGCAACCTCGCTAATCCCGGTTACTTATGTATATTTGAAAGTATATTGTATTAAATTAAAATTTATAACAAATTTAATATAATAATAATATTTATTATAATAAATTTATTTTAAAAAATATTTGATTCCCTTTTGTTTAGCGTGCTATCAGATAGACTTGACCAGTCTTCTTTCATTTTATAATAATTAAAAATGTAGAAATGTTCGTAACAAAATCTCGCAACAGATGGCGCCATACATTTGTTTGACAATGGCGTTTGAAACGTCAGTGGAATCGTGCTCGACGTTTCAAACGCCATTGTCAAACGTCTAGGCTTACAAGGAAGGCGGCGCTCAACGTTCTCGACGTTCACGTTTTAAAGATGAAAACTTCGGCCGCAACCTTTCTAATATTTGACGGAAAACACCAGTTTCCGGGAGGGACGGAAGCGTGGGTTTTAAGTTTGTATTTGAGTAAAAGTTGCTTTGTCTGCCTTTTCAGAAAACGGAGGAAAAGAAGAAGACCGGACCCGTCCAGTTCTTCCCGTCCAAAGGTTTTCCCGTCCGTTTCTTTCCGGCCACCGATTTCGACCGTTCCCTTTATCTGTCACCCGCCGTACTTATCAGATTCCGAGACATCCAGGTGGAAGACGACGTCACTTTCGAATGCTGGGTAACTTCCAACTTTTTCCCCCCGCGGTCTATGCCCGACCCTCCTCCACTCACACCTTTTTTCTTTTCTTTTTGTGGACAGCTGCGCGCCGCCAACGCCTACCAATTGGCAGACAGCGGACAGATGACCATTTCCTTCGTTCGGAGAAAACCGCAAGACTCGACCGCCGCCACCGGGTCCACCTCAACCCTGTCCATTCAGTCCTCCAGTCCCGTGGAGGATGAAACGTTGACGAAGGGAACTTCCACCGTCACCGAAGAAGACACCGGCTTGAACTTGAACCGCAAGAACTGAGGACCGAATCCCTCCGGAAACGAAAAATCGTATTTATTCAAGTCACGGAACGTTCGGCCGATTTCCCAAAGCCGGGCTCCGGGGAAAAATAATCCCGGGGTAGATGCTCGGGACGGGTTCTTCGGGGATCTTTATTTATTGGCCGTCGGTCCGTAAACGACTGAGCGAAACTTTTACAACTTTTTGTACATCCAGCGAATTATATCGCTATTTAATGCTACGTTCCTGGGCCGGAGGAAAATGGTTAAATCGTTCTTCCAAACTTTCGAATTGTCTAACGGAATTTTGAAAACCCTCAAATAAATTTTTATGAGATTCGCATTTTCTTTTTATTTCCGATTCTCGCGAGAATTGTCCGTCGCCTCCCGAAAAACCACAGGACCCAGAAAACGGCAAATTCCACTGCTAATTGCCGTTTGTGAATAATCACCGCGGGATTCAAGCAAAGATTAAGGGACGGAACTCGTCTTCGTCGAGTAAATTCCCATCCCCACTCCAAACTATGGACGTAACGACAAATTAGCGGAGGGAAAGAGAAAAACGGTAAGCACGCGCTGGGCCCTACGCCCTAGAATGGTAGGAAGAACTGAAAAAAAAGAAGCCATTCACCATGTCCTTTAGTCGGACACAACAAAAATTCGAGCCGCGCAAGAAAAAATTGAATATTGAAAAAATAAACCCTTACTTGGGTGTAGCACTCACATCAGGGTTTATTTTTTTCAATATTCGCAGAAACCGAAGAAAAAGTCGACAAATTAAAAAAAAATTGGCGCGGGTGCAAACGGTTTTGCAGTCGGAGATCGGGCCACAAATGTTAAAACAAAAATACAGACGGTAGTGGGTTTCGTAAACCTAAGAATGAAACGACTCTTGGGTGGACGTGACAAAGTCGCGCCAACCCAATACAAAAACAGGCGCCGGTGGTCTTTGAAAAGGTACGACGTTCCAGTAACGAGTTACCGATAGCGACGTACGAAAGATGATCGAAAACGAACGGATCGAGTTGCCGTAGGAGTTTACACTACCAAATGACAAACGCGTGGTAACACACCCGACGCTACGGTAGCAAAAAAATAAAAGGTTTATTCGATTGCCATCTCACCAATTTCCAGGATTTCCGAAAGATTACCAGATGAACCGAATAAATATCGAGATGACACCACCGTGGAACAAAAGCACCCAAGTCGCGCCCATGGCGATAGGGGCTTTGGATGTCGTATCTCTCGAACAGACGAAAGTTCTACACGGCGTTTCTCGACCCGTGTGTTGCGAAAATAATAAATATTGTTTAGAATTTTGAATAAGCTCTTTTACTTTCCCGTTTGTTATGTATAAGTAACGAGGGAAAGTATTGGAATCTTGTGAAATTTTACCCTCCTAAATTTTTACAAATGGGCCTCTCGAACAAAAAAGTCGAAAACAACGGAAAAAAATTCAGTGGATATATGTGTGTGTGTGTGTGTGTTGACGTCTATTTAGTTTAAATTCTCGAAATTTGTAGGCATTTTTAGCATGAAATACGGCTAAAAAAGTAAAAAGAAGGCTTTATTTTGAAGGTCTATAACGGTTTAATTCATTTTATATTGCTTTATATGAGAAAATTTATTTCGGTTTTAGAACAACTTTTATGAACGAATTATGTTGGGAAACCGGTTTGACTGTATTATGGTTAATAATATAAAAGTTATTTTTTAACTCCTTAATTTCTGTTATTAATTTTCGTAGTTACTACTATCGAATATAACTGTCAGGAGAGGGCCGGGCAATAGGACAGTATCCGAGGATCATAACAGTAAAGAAATCATTCTTAAACATTTTTTTAAAGAGTTAATAATGCCCCATATATCGTCAGGAAGGGCATCCGGCCGTAAAACCTATGCCAAAATTACATGGAATGTCTGCTAGACTATAATTGTGTTAGGACGTCCCCCCGAAGCGATGCGCAAAAGCAATTCAGTTCTTGGATGATGTGCAAACATGGTAGTTGCTGAATAGTAATTGCATTTTGAAACTTAGAGGAGAGGTTTTGGGAAAAACTTGAGGGATGAGATCGACAGAAGGAAAGAAACTTTGCTGGTGGAATGCTGAAGTACAATCCGCAGTTACACAAAAGAATGAGGTAAAGAAAAGTGGGATTTGATGGAAAGGCCGGAAGATAAAGAAACTTACCATTTGGCAAATAAAATGACTAAAAAGGCGGTGGATATTGCGAAAGCAAAGGCTTTAGAAGAGACTTATAAAGTTTTCGAAAGGAAAGGTGGGGAAAGGCAGTTGAGGAGAATTATCTCTTGCTTTAGCAAGAGATGCTTTATCTCTTGCTAAAGCAAGAGATAAAGCATCAAAAGATTTTACCTCTATTAAACTGATTAAAGATGATAAAGGAGTGGTATTACAAGATTACGAAAGAGTTAAGGAAAGACGAAAAGTATATTTTAGGAATTTATTGAATGAAGAAAACCCCGGAACTTTATACGAGAATGGAGACGCAAATGGAGTGGTGCAAGATATTAGCAGAGAAGAAGTGGAAAGTGTGCTTAAGAAAATGAAATGGGGAAAGCGGTAGGCACTGATCGGATTCCGGTTGAGGCTTGGAGAAGTTTGGGTAAGGTGGGAATTGATATCCTCTGGAACTTTATGAAAAAACTCTGACAGCAGGAGAAGATCCCAGATGAATGGAGGAAGAGCATTCTTGTACCGATCTTTAAAGGTAAAGGGGATGTACAAAATTGCGGAAATTACAGAGGTATAAAGATATTGTCCCATACTATGAAGATATGGGAGAAAATTGTCGAAAGAAGGATTAGGCAGGAATCTGAGATTGAAGAGGAACAGAATGGCTTTTTTCCGGGAAGGAGTACGACTGATGCTATCTTTGCTCTAAAACAGCTGATGGAAAGGCACAGGGAAATGCAGAAAGATTTATGGTGTTCATAGATTTAGAAAAGACGTATGATAGGATACCAAGGCAAGAGATATGAAGATATTTGAGGGAAAAGAATGTTCCAGAAAAATTTTAGGCTCGTCAAGGAAATGTACGAGGGAGCAGAGACTCAAATTAAGAGTAATGTGGGCACTACAGAAGTGTTCTTCGTTAATGTTGATTTGCATCAGGGATCGGCCCTTAGCCCTTATTTGCTTGACGCGATAATGGACCTGTTGGTGCGCGACGTGAAGTGTGAGGCTCCGTGGAGTATGCTGTTTGCGGATGATATTGTGCCGTGTGAACTTTTCCAAACCAAGGCTGAGAAGAAACGGGAAGATTGGAAGAAAGTTTTGGAAGAAAGGGGCATGAAGATTGGTAGAACTAAAACAGCTTACATGATTCTGAATGGTAGAACGAGTGTAATATTAAAATCCAAAATGTGCCGCTCCCTTTGGTTCCGAGTTTTAAATATCTTGGGACATTTGTCGAGATGGGAGGAGGATTGGAGTCGGAGGTGCAGCATAGAATTCAATGTGGATGATGAACTGGAGGAAGCCGAGAGGTGTGTTATGCGACAAGAAAGTTAGCTGCAATCTGAAAGGAAAATTGTATAAATCAGTTGTTAGACCCTCAATGTTATATGGAGCTGAGACATGGGCAATAAGAAGAGCCCAAGAAAGAAAGAGGGAGGTGACGGAGATGAGAATGTTGAGATGGATGTGTGGAGTGTGAAAGAAGGATAGAATAAGGAATGATTTTATTAGGGGTTTAAGATGGGCCCCTTGTACAAAAAGATGCAAGAATGTATTGATAGGTTGAGGTGGTTTGACCACGTAGAACGAAGAAGCGACAATTATGTTGGAAAGAAGATCGGAAAACTGGTAGTAAAAGGAAAGAGGAAAACAAGACCAAAGATGCGTTGGAAAGATAAGGTAGAAGACTCGAACCAGAGGGGACTTAAGAGAGAAGAAGCCCTTCATAGGGAGAAATGGAAAAAAACGTATTAGAGAAGGAAACGCCTACCCCATATAAACACGAGAAAAAGCAAAGGTAAAGAAGAAGATTATAGATATGCTAAGTTATTGGTACTCGAGTATCGAGGGGTACCCGACAACTGGACGATAGTCGAATGGGGGACGGTTAACCGAGCGACAGAAACTTAAAAATGTTTTCACGCTTAGCAAGCGTACGATTTGGCGGATATTATTTATTTATTTAATAAAATTTACAAAATCAAAATTAAAAATGACGGAGGGAGGGAGAAAGTTACGTTTTTTTAATTAGCGCCAGCGTTAAAGCCTATGCCAGACCGAGACATAGGCACACGAAATCGTTAAGAAATTTGTCTTTTTAAATTACCGCTCGGACAATAATTTTTACTTCCCTTAACCAATCTTAAACAGGTAAAAAAGGACTAACAATTATTTATTTTACGGATAAGATCGTCGATTCGATTCGTTACATTTTCTCCATCGACTACTGTACTCTTTTTTTTCGAATTTTACAACCAGGAAAAAGAACATTTTTCTTTTATATGTAACAGAGGGAAAGGATAGCCAAGGGTAAAACAAATGACTCACCGACAGTTTTACATTTCTCGTACTCGGAGGACCCGAAAATGGGGAGAAATGCACAAAATTTGGGTTTTTTCTGGACTTAGGGGTGTCAGTACGGTATATGTGTGCGTGGGGGCACGACTCGGTCACTCGCTTCGAAACTCACTCCGCACATTTTCGACAAAAAACGCGGAAGTTAACGACTCCCAGAAGAGGGACGTTATTAAATTTTGGGGGTTAAGGGGTGGAGAGATAGAGGAAAGTCCGAGGACGTATCTGGAGCGAAGACTTAACTAAGATTTTATTAGTTAAGTCTTCCCCAAACGACGGGGACGGCGGGTGTTCGAGGTCGGAGGGGCAGAATTCACCTTAAGTAACGGTAAAATAAAAACCGTATTACAAATTTGTTTATTTTAATTTACTGTCGTTAGGTTTATCTCCAAGTGTCCAGGAGATTAAATCGGGGGAAGAACGGGGCATCCTGATTTTGCCAAAGTCCATATCTTCCCCAGAGTCCCACTTCAACCAGAATAATTTGAAGCGGATCGACTAAAAATTGAAGAACGGAGAGACAAACATTACATTACATAGAAACCTTCTAATAGTTCCCACCGTCTTCAGTCTTCGGCCTCCGTCGCCTTCCCCCGAATCAAAATTTTACTCTTCGCTCAGCTAAGTCGTCGTTTTAATCGGAAAAACGGGAGGGAAGGTCGGCAGTTTCCGGGCTTTTTCCGAAGGAGCGCGTGGTAAAAATAAGAAATCTGCCACCTACGATTTCTAGAGAGTTTTTCGATTTGTTTCCGGATAAAAAGTTGGGCCATCAATAGTGGACTTTTTCTAGAAGAACGTAAATCGGAATTTCTGCGGTCGCAATCGTTTCTTTCGCGGTTTAGACGAGCGACGAGAGGAGACCGACGAAAAGTTGACGGTGACAGGTGAAACTGGAAATCTTTCTCGTTGTCCTTCCCTTCTTTTTGTTTAGACGGAGAAACCCTCTACGGATTAATTAATAAACCGGTAAAGAAAAGTCCGGGTGGCCAAATCCCCGGTTCCCGTAGCCCGAACGATTACTATTTCTTACGCTGGACCTAAGTACCGTGACGGGATTAGGTTTAATTGGTGTTTTTTCTACCCGTCTACCCTCCTACCTTCTTTCCGTTTGACCCGTTTTCTACCACTCCGACCGGATGCGATTTATCGCCCGTTCGAGCGTCGCTAATTTTCTCGTCGCTCCGGTTTCGACGTCGCTTCGGATCTGCCGCCTTTCCTTTTGCAAGTGTAATAATCGCTCTCCCACCGCCGTCGACGTTGAGTCGGATAAACCGACCCCACTTCCTTCCATTCCTCTATTTCGGACCTAATTGATTACAGTATTACCATAAACGTTCGCGTCTCTTCTTTATTCCAAAAGGACGGGAGAAGAGAAAGACCCATACGACGATTTACCATGGATTCGTCCCTAATATCTCTCGTTAGTACCGACGCCATACCGGAACACCTCCCGAATTAAAAAGTTTTCTTTCCTTTCGCCTGGTTTTATTTCTAGGATTTTAATTTTACCCTTGGAGGCCGGCGTGGCCCGGAGATAAAAACGCTCGACCTTCGACCCCTCCGACCGCCGACCGATAACGAACGTCGAACGTATCGGCGGCGATAAGCGGACGACGCCCGAATCGGAGCGACGAAAGCGCCACCCGCGGCGCGAAAGGTCCAATTTAGAAAAGTCGCTTCCGAAATGGACGGACAAAAAAAAAAACAGAACGACGGAGGAAGAAAAAATTCCATTATGAAAAAAGAGTTTCGTCCGTGGAATTTCGTCCGGGCGCCGTCTCTTTCGGGAGTCGTCGTCGTCGTCGTCGTCGATAGGCAAACGAGGGCGGGTGACGTCGCCGAGTCGGCGCGCCGCAGACGGGACTCGGCCGACGTTTAAAGGCAGGGGGAGGCGCGCGCTTCCTCCGTTTGCCGGGAGTTTCGGAATGGCGGAGGGTGAGTAGCTCGTTCGTCCCGACGACCGTCTCAGCTCGGGATTCTCTTCTTTCGGCCTCCTCCGACGGTCGTCGCTCCTCGCTTGCGCTTCTCGACTCGACGATTGGTCTCGGTCGTAGCCGCGGACTCCGCGCTTCCAGTCGGACCGACCGCGACCTTCGACCCGGTCCTCGGCCGGCCGCGCGCCGTCGGGGGAATCGAAACTCGAAAAGATGCGGACGAACGTGGGTCGACGACGAAAGGGCGTCGGTAGCGGTACGGCCGGGATATTTCTGGCGACGACCGGGCAAACTCTCAACTGGGTCGGCTAAAATAGAAGAGCGCTTCCTTTATTTTCTCTCTTCGTCTCCCTCCGCGCCGTTTCCTCCCCCGGCGCCGTTGCAGCCGCTGCCGGAACCCGATAATCCGGAAGAAAACCCTTTCGACTCATCGCCGTTTACTTCCGTCCGCCCGTCCTCGACTATCGCCGCCGCCCGCTCATCCCATCGGTCTACGGTGACGCGGACGGCGCGTCTCTTTCGCTCGGCGCCGCGCGCCCACCCGACTTTCTAACGTGGTCGTCCGCCGTATTCCAGATCAAGCGTACGTGACACTGGCCACCGACGACACCTACGGCCTGGGCGCTCTGGTTCTGGCCCATTCTCTAAAACGCTTCACCAACAGAAAACTGGTGGTTCTGGTCTCTCCCAACGTCACTCCTCACATGAGGTAAGTTTCCTTCCGCGCGCTTCTCCGTCTTTCTTTTCCCATCTTTACGTCCCTCCTTCGATAGATCTCAGCTAAGTTCGGTTTTCGACGAAGTGCGAGAAGTAAACGTACTGGACAGCAAAGATGAAGCTCGTCTGGCTCTGATGGCCCGTCCCGAATTGGGCGTGACGCTGACCAAGATCCATTGCTGGTGTCTGACGCACTACTCCAAAGCAGTCTTCCTCGACGCCGACACCTTGGTGAGTGAATTTTTGGCCGTCTTCTTCCTCCCCGCGACCAAACTTTAAGAAAGTCTCTTTTCAGGTAGTGCAAAACTGCGACGAGTTGTTTGATCGCGAGGAACTGTCCGCGGTGGCCGACGTTGGTTGGCCCGACTGCTTCAATTCCGGGGTCTTCGTCTTCCGACCCTCCGAAGAGACCTTTCGAGCTCTGTTAAACCACGCCAGAGAGCACGGCAGCTTCGACGGTAAACCATCATTTTCCTTTCGTTTGTTACTTTTTTTCGCCTTTCTCAATCCTCGTTTTTGTGTAGGAGGCGACCAGGGACTTTTAAACAGTTATTTTAGCGACTGGCGAACGAAAGACATCTCTCGACATCTCTCCTTCATTTATAACATGAATTCCAAAGCGGATCGACTAAAAATTGAAGAGAACGGAGAGACAAACATTACATTACATAGAAACCTTCTAATAGTTCCCACCGTCTTCAGTCTTCGGCCTCCGTCGCCTTCCCCCGAATCAAAATTTTACTCTTCGCTCAGCTAAGTCGTCGTTTTAATCGGAAAAACGGGAGGGAAGGTCGGCAGTTTCCGGGCTTTTTCCGAAGGAGCGCGTGGTAAAAATAAGAAATCTGCCACCTACGATTTCTAGAGAGTTTTTCGATTTGTTTCCGGATAAAAAGTTGGGCCATCAATAGTGGACTTTTTCTAGAAGAACGTAAATCGGAATTTCTGCGGTCGCAATCGTTTCTTTCGCGGTTTAGACGAGCGACGAGAGGAGACCGACGAAAAGTTGACGGTGACAGGTGAAACTGGAAATCTTTCTCGTTGTCCTTCCCTTCTTTTTGTTTAGACGGAGAAACCCTCTACGGATTAATTAATAAACCGGTAAAGAAAAGTCCGGGTGGCCAAATCCCCGGTTCCCGTAGCCCGAACGATTACTATTTCTTACGCTGGACCTAAGTACCGTGACGGGATTAGGTTTAATTGGTGTTTTTTCTACCCGTCTACCCTCCTACCTTCTTTCCGTTTGACCCGTTTTCTACCACTCCGACCGGATGCGATTTATCGCCCGTTCGAGCGTCGCTAATTTTCTCGTCGCTCCGGTTTCGACGTCGCTTCGGATCTGCCGCCTTTCCTTTTGCAAGTGTAATAATCGCTCTCCCACCGCCGTCGACGTTGAGTCGGATAAACCGACCCCACTTCCTTCCATTCCTCTATTTCGGACCTAATTGATTACAGTATTACCATAAACGTTCGCGTCTCTTCTTTATTCCAAAAGGACGGGAGAAGAGAAAGACCCATACGACGATTTACCATGGATTCGTCCCTAATATCTCTCGTTAGTACCGACGCCATACCGGAACACCTCCCGAATTAAAAAGTTTTCTTTCCTTTCGCCTGGTTTTATTTCTAGGATTTTAATTTTACCCTTGGAGGCCGGCGTGGCCCGGAGATAAAAACGCTCGACCTTCGACCCCTCCGACCGCCGACCGATAACGAACGTCGAACGTATCGGCGGCGATAAGCGGACGACGCCCGAATCGGAGCGACGAAAGCGCCACCCGCGGCGCGAAAGGTCCAATTTAGAAAAGTCGCTTCCGAAATGGACGGACAAAAAAAAAAAACAGAACGACGGAGGAAGAAAAAATTCCATTATGAAAAAAGAGTTTCGTCCGTGGAATTTCGTCCGGGCGCCGTCTCTTTCGGGAGTCGTCGTCGTCGTCGTCGTCGATAGGCAAACGAGGGCGGGTGACGTCGCCGAGTCGGCGCGCCGCAGACGGGACTCGGCCGACGTTTAAAGGCAGGGGGAGGCGCGCGCTTCCTCCGTTTGCCGGGAGTTTCGGAATGGCGGAGGGTGAGTAGCTCGTTCGTCCCGACGACCGTCTCAGCTCGGGATTCTCTTCTTTCGGCCTCCTCCGACGGTCGTCGCTCCTCGCTTGCGCTTCTCGACTCGACGATTGGTCTCGGTCGTAGCCGCGGACTCCGCGCTTCCAGTCGGACCGACCGCGACCTTCGACCCGGTCCTCGGCCGGCCGCGCGCCGTCGGGGGAATCGAAACTCGAAAAGATGCGGACGAACGTGGGTCGACGACGAAAGGGCGTCGGTAGCGGTACGGCCGGGATATTTCTGGCGACGACCGGGCAAACTCTCAACTGGGTCGGCTAAAATAGAAGAGCGCTTCCTTTATTTTCTCTCTTCGTCTCCCTCCGCGCCGTTTCCTCCCCCGGCGCCGTTGCAGCCGCTGCCGGAACCCGATAATCCGGAAGAAAACCCTTTCGACTCATCGCCGTTTACTTCCGTCCGCCCGTCCTCGACTATCGCCGCCGCCCGCTCATCCCATCGGTCTACGGTGACGCGGACGGCGCGTCTCTTTCGCTCGGCGCCGCGCGCCCGCCCGACTTTCTAACGTGGTCGTCCGCCGTATTCCAGATCAAGCGTACGTGACACTGGCCACCGACGACACCTACGGCCTGGGCGCTCTGGTTCTGGCCCATTCTCTAAAACGCTTCACCAACAGAAAACTGGTGGTTCTGGTCTCTCCCAACGTCACTCCTCACATGAGGTAAGTTTCCTTCCGCGCGCTTCTCCGTCTTTCTTTTCCCATCTTTACGTCCCTCCTTCGATAGATCTCAGCTAAGTTCGGTTTTCGACGAAGTGCGAGAAGTAAACGTACTGGACAGCAAAGATGAAGCTCGTCTGGCTCTGATGGCCCGTCCCGAATTGGGCGTGACGCTGACCAAGATCCATTGCTGGGGTCTGACGCACTACTCCAAAGCAGTCTTCCTCGACGCCGACACCTTGGTGAGTGAATTTTTGGCCGTCTTCTTCCTCCCCGCGACCAAACTTTAAGAAAGTCTCTTTTCAGGTAGTGCAAAACTGCGACGAGTTGTTTGATCGCGAGGAACTGTCCGCGGTGGCCGACGTTGGTTGGCCCGACTGCTTCAATTCCGGGGTCTTCGTCTTCCGACCCTCCGAAGAGACCTTTCGAGCTCTGTTAAACCACGCCAGAGAGCACGGCAGCTTCGACGGTAAACCATCATTTTCCTTTCGTTTGTTACTTTCTTTCGCCTTTCTCAATCCTCGTTTTTGTGTAGGAGGCGACCAGGGACTTTTAAACAGTTATTTTAGCGACTGGCGAACGAAAGACATCTCTCGACATCTCTCCTTCATTTATAACATGAATTCCAATGCCAGCTACACCTATCTTCCCGCCTACAAACAGTAAGTAGATGCGACGTTCCTTCTCTCCTACCCGGCTCTTAACTCTTCTCTCTTTTTGCAGATTCGGCAGCGACGTCAAGATAATTCATTTCCTGGGCCCCGTCAAACCCTGGATGCACCGTTACCACCCCGGAACGGGCCGACTGGACGTATTCGGAGACTGCAGACACCTAGAGGAGCATCTACGTCTGTGGTGGAACATCTTCGCCACTCAGGTCCAGCCTTTCTTGCAGCCCGACTGCGTGAGTAGGGGGACGAGCGGATAGAAGGGTCCTCCGCCCACCGTTTCTAACTCTCTTGTATTTTCAGGCTGGTTTGGCAGGCGCTCTGTCTCGCGTCAGTTTGGAAGAAGGCGAAGGTCGGACGCCCGAGACGGCCGCGTCGTCTCAGGCCAGGAGACACGCTTGGGAGAGGGGTCAGATAGACTATTTGGGCAGCGACGCCTTCAGTAACATCGAGCGCAAACTGGACGCCGCCATCGACGGAGTGTGAAGATCCGAAACCGCCCCGAGATAAGTTTTAGGCAACGATCGAACCGAACCCAACGTCCGGTTTTTCACGCGCTTTTTCCAGTTTCCAAAAAGGATCTTTTCTTCTTTTTTTACGGTAACAATGTGTAGCCGCCATTAACAGTGTTTTGAGAAGTAACTTAACGAGGATATTAAATTATGATTGTCGACCTCGTCCTTTCTCTGCTTCTTCTGCTTTCTTCGCACAAAACACCACCTCCCCGAAATCGACTTTACACTCCAACTTAATTATTGCCAAAACAATTTTTAATTTGTTGGACCTGTATCGGAATCGAAAGTATAAGTTTTCCTACCGTAAAGGCGGAGCGTGGAGATTTCCGCATCGTCCGTAAACAAAACTAAATTAAACCTACAAAGCGGAAGCTCGACGGTGACGACGAATACCGGAAGCGTGTCATACCCCACCGGTACCGAACGTCTGTCTTTAAAACAATGGTTACGAACATCAAAAGACAATCGCGGGTTGTCCGTTTTCTGCGTATTTTTATCTCTCGGTACAGGTAAACCATTCGAAGGCATTTTCGGCTCGACACGACTCTTTTAACGGGCCGGAGTCGAATTGTTTTCGTTCATACTCTCCACAATAGGCCGAAGATTTGTCAGGCTTCGTCTCGATTGATGACTTACCATTGCGTTACGACTACGAATTTGCCCGGAAGCTCGTCGGTATCTTTCCTCCACCGGAAGTGCGGAAACCGGTGGAAATACGAACCGTTTACTCGACGATTACTTCCCCGTCCGCAACGTTTTCGCCTTTAATTCTCTGCCGGTGGGCCCGGGTGTCGAGTCTTCGGCCCTACTCCCGTCGGGAACGTTTAGCCTACGCAGCCGAAGCGTAATTTTCCATCGGCCGTTTAAACCGGCCGATGGAAAATTACGGTAACTACGTAAAAACGGTAACTAACTAACTACGGTAACAACGGTAACTAACTAACTACGGTAACAACGGTAAATTACGGTAACTACGTAAAAACGGTAACTAACTAACTACGAAAAAAACGGTAACTACGTTACGTAGCGAACTACGTAACGTAGTTACCGTTTTTTTCGTAGTTATGTAGCGAACTACGTAACGTAGTTACGTAGTTCGCTACATAACTACATAACTACGTAACTACATAACATAGTTCGTAGTTACGTTACGTAGCTACGAACTACGTAACGTAGTTACGTAGTTCGTAGCTACGTAACGTAACTACGTAACTACGTTAAACCGTTCGTCCTTCGGTACGTCGGTCGCCCGAAAGGATTGCTGCGGTGTGGCGAATTGGGCGAGGACGAACGAACGTCAGAAAATTGGCGACCGGGAAGCGTTAATCGTTCGAAAATTAGCCAACGTTTTTGGTGTCCCGACGACGTAGACTATTACCGGAAGACAGCGTTAAGTAATAAACAAAATAGTGCGAGACTGATAAAACGAAAACCTGCCAAAGAAAACAAAACAAAAAATCGTAGAAGGTGAGAAAGAAGAAGAATTCAAGAAGTTTGCAGGGAATGTATCAAGTATAACTAAAACCTTGCATATTAATTAGGGATATAAACGAAATGTGGTATTGTTATATTTGAATGAGGAATAACTAACTGGCAAATGCCGAATTCGGTACATTTAAGTTACGAACGATACGACAAACACATTCTCCGGGGGGGACGAGTTGCGTACTCAATTCATTTCCATAAAAAAGTCTTAAAATCGCCCGAGGGAGGAATTATGGCAATGGCAACTACCCCATAGAATGACGGAAATTACTTTTAAAAACGTCCCGGGCAAAACAGTTTACGTATTTCAGAAATTTTACAACTTTTACAATTACCATGTATATTTTCGTACTTTTATTTGTAATTTCGCGTACATTTAGAGAATAGAATTTCGGTCTTCTTCATCTTCACCACACGCGCGGGCCGTCTCCGATTTGGCCATCGACCACCCGGCCAAATAAATACGTTATTCCGAGAATAACTCTCGACGAAAGAGTTAAAGCGGTTACAAATTATAAAAGAAAAGATAGACGACGGGTTGCGCCGCACGCGTTAATCGGAAGAGAAGCGCCGCGCGGCTAATTCTAAGGGAAAACGGACGACGCAGGGGCGCGTCCGAAGGTACAAAAACCCATCCCTACCCTCGGAGTTAAGCTTTTTGCCATTTTATAATTATAAAACATTTTATATTTTTAATTAAAAAGTAAAAATATCGTAAAGGATTGCGCCAAATGTAATTTCGAATGCTGTTGCCGGGAAAGTTACGCAACTTGTCGTTTAGATTTTTTTGAGATTGCATTTAGATTCGCAACAAAATTAAATTATCTTGGCTTCTCTAATAGACTCATTTTGAGTTTATTGTGTTTAAAATCCGTTAAGGGTATGAATTATTCGAGCCCGTAGGTTTATCTTGACAAAATTAATTTTTGTACGTGTCGGCGTGCTTCACGAAGTCCAGGTTTGTGGATATTGTGACTATTATCGGGCGCAGATCTGCGGATCAATACAAAAACAATGTTAAAATTACCGAACGTTTAAAGTTTCGACAGAGAGATTTCACGTCGGTATGCAAAAGAATGAAATTTATTGTAAGACCACAAATCCCCGAATTTCGTTGGCAGATTTCCGAGAACGATCTATATCCGTGCTGGGTGTGGAAAGCCGAACGAATTCAAAACCGTGTCCATTGTTAAGCATTGTTGTCGAGCTATAGTTTAATTTTTATTTTATTACCATAGTGCACGTTTGTGTCAATTAATTTGATAGCCGATCCGACACCTTCTACGTAAGAGTTCGAGTAATAAAAATTTCGAAATCAAAGTAAACGCATTATTCTCAATGTACAGTATTTATTATTTGCAATTTATACAAATTAATTAAAACAGACTAAAGAATAGACGACAGACTTTTGATATCGCCGAGAATCTCCCGGAACCAACTCTTTGCAAGATTCTTTTCTTTTACATCACTTCTCAAATCTTCTTGTAAATGCTAAATATACCAATTTTTTATTATCTGCGAAAGTTTAGTTCGATGCAATTTTGTTTCTAAAAACATTACCTCGACCATGATCTTTTATAACCTCACTTAAATGATAAATGAGCATTATTGAACAATGACAAGTAACCACTACTGCCAATTTAATTTTAGCTTTTTTGATACAGTAGAACCTCGAAAACTCGTCCCTCGATAACTTAGCACTCCGGATAACTGGTCCACACCTTGGCAGGGCGAAAAAATCCTTAGTTAATTAATTTTCATTATAGACAGCTTTATAAAAGTATAAAAGCTCTCATAAAGTATTTTTCTGAGGTCTGTCTTATCAGGTAAATTACTGTACACAGTGTATTCATTAATTTTCATTTTCATGTAGTGGCTCTATGCCTTCATAAAGGACGTACTTTTCCTTTGTTTAAGGGTATTTGGGCAGTTTATTCTCTGTTATATTCTGTACAAGTAAATACTGTACAAGTACAGCACAGTATTTTCTGAGGAAATACTCGTACTTATTTTTTTTTAACCCCATTCCCGATAACTCGGCATTTTCACAAACTCGGCCACCCTTCGGTCCACATTAGGTCGAGTTTTCGAGGTTCTACTGTATTTTCTTCGGAATCTTACTTTTGTTAGTCATAAAAAAAAAACGCTAGAACACTATTATTTAACCCAGTAATGTTAAATTTGTGCTTAGAAGAAGGTTCGTGTTGAGCAAAATTGTATAGTTCTCCTTTCACTGTGGAAGAACAGAGTTTACAGAAATCATCCTCACTATTATTTGGCGCTTTCTGAATGTTTTTTCTCCGATTCATTTTGTATTTACGGTCGTGATCGTATAAAGGCTTCCATTTTGACATTTTTAAAAATAAAGGGTTAAAAGTTTAAAGTCTTTTAGTTCTTACCTGGACCGTCATGTCTCGATGTGTTACATCTGCGGCCCGTATCCGTAGAAATATTAATTAATTCCACTGTGTCAGAATCTCAAACTTTTTATCTACGACCCCTTCTTCCAACAAAAGAATTTTTAAACCCATTTTATATTGAAGAAGTTTTACAACTCTTCTTCTTAATACACTGTGCAAAACAAAAGTATGAAAAACATGTGCCTTGTAATCGAGAAGATACAGTAATATAAATAATATAAACATTACCGAAAATTTAGCTGAGAAAAAAGAAATGCAATAAATAGAGTTCTAATAAAGATAGAACGTCTCTTAGCTTTGGAATATACAGTAGAGCATCGATTTTCCGAATCAATTGGGGACTGGGGTTGTCCGGATAACTGATATTTCGGATAACTGATTAACGTACGAAAAAATAGTTTAACATATCCGATGTCGAAATTTTTCTCCGTTGCGTGTCGCTTCGCGTTGAATTTTCGTCGATGTTAAGCCTAGCAAAGACTATTGTATCGTTAAAAATTATTTTTTTATTTTGTACAAACAAAATAAATATATTGAAAAATATAAAAATAATAAAAAA